TGTTTTGTGTATTTATCCCCTTCCCTTGTTTATTGTAACCCGCCGGGAGTCCTTCGGGAGTGGGCGGCATACAAGACCAATAAACAAGACCCATAAACAAACACTCCAGGCCGTGGGCTCCCTTCCCTTCCGCCTTTTCCACGCGTCTCCGAGCCCCGGGGAAGCTTCTCTTGCTTTCGTTTCTGCTTCCACCCAGCAGCGCCTGGCCACAAAGTCCACGCGGGTGACAGCGGCAGCTCCCCGGGTTTCTCCACCAGGTGAGGAGAGGAGGAGCCCCCCCCCCAGCCCACCTGGCAGCCCTGGACGGCTCTCAGTCTTCCACCGCAGGGGAGGCGGCCAGTTTGGAGACTCGGAGGCCCTCTGAGGCCGCTGGCCAAGGTGCCCGGCAGAGAAGCCGCCTCTTTGCCCATGGGACCCCCTTGGTTTAGGGCCTCCTGCTGGAGCAGGGGGCTGGATCCATAGACGCCCAGCGTCCCTTCCCACTCTGTTGTTCTGTGGGTGGGGGAAGCATTGGGGGCAGGTGCCACTGCTGGGAGTTCCTGAAGGGGAAGGGGCTTCCCTGAGTCAGCTTCCACTTGCCAGAAGAGCTGGTTCCCTGGGAGGGCAAGGGGCTTCCCTGCCCCCTGGCTTTCCTTGGTGGTCGCAGCTCCTGACTGTCAGCTCCCTCTCCCAGGCTGGCCCTTCTGCCTTATGGCCCCACCAGAGCAGGCCGGGGGTGGGGGGTGGGGGGGTATCTGCTTGGTGTGGTTCCACCACTCCCTCCTTCCCTTCCAGGTGCAGCCCAGGGCGGCCTTCATCCCTGCTTCCCTGAATGGAAGGGGCCCAGATGGCTGCCGACGCATCCTCCCTCTGGGAGACCCTTGCCGGCAGCTTCCTGACTTGCAACATTTGCCTGGGACACTATTGCCAGCCCAAAATCTTACCCTGCCTCCACAGCTACTGCCAGGACTGTCTGAAGACGCTGCAGGGTGGGGCGAAGCGGGAGCTGCGGTGCCCTGAATGCCGCGAGCCGGTGCCTCTCCCGGCCGGCATTGAAGGTTTGAAGACCAACTTCTTCATCAATGGCCTCCTGGACTTGGTGCCTCCAGTCGAGAAGGCCAGGGTCACCTGCAGCCTGTGCCCGCTCATTGGGCAAGATGCCAGCTCTGTCGCCGTGTCTCACTGCATCGATTGTGCCGACCACCTGTGTCAGGCCTGTGCCAGTGGGCACCGTTGCTCCCGGCTTACCCACAAACACCTCGTGGTGGACATGGAGGCTTACCACTCTGGGAAGTACAACGAGGAGATCCGGAAGCGCCAGGCGGCACGCTGCAAAGAGCACAAGGGCGAAAACCTGCAGTATTTCTGCATTCCCTGCGCTGCTGCCCTCTGCCGGGAGTGCCGCCTGGGCCATCACCTGGAGCACCCGTGCCTGTCTCTGTCGGAGGCCGCCAAAGCCCGCCGTCCCGTCATCACAGGCCTCTTGGCTGGGGTGGCGGAGAAGGTGCAGCTCATCGCCCGGGGAAAGGCCAGCCTGGAGGAGGAGATAAAGGAGATGGAGGTGTGGAACACGAACATCCGTAGCGTGGTGGAGCAGACGTGCGCCAAGGCCGTGGAACAGCTGCTCAGCCACAAGGGACAGGTCCTGGCCCAACTCTCCAGCTACCTGGAGGAGCGGAAGGTGGCCTCTCGGTTGCTGCTCTCTGAGCTGGGCTTCCAGGAGCAGGTGGCCTCCAGCACGGTGGCCTTCGCCCAGAAGGTGCTGAGCCTGGGCCAAGAGGAGGAGATCGTCTCCTTGGAGCAGATGATCTCGGAGAGGCTGAGGCAGCTGCAGGGCTTCTCTTGGGAGGCCCTCGCCGTGCAGGTCCCCAAGCTCCGCATCCAGCCGAACCTCCTCTGCGGCTGCAACCTCTTCCACCTGGAGTTCCACGAGAAGCCCACGGCCGCCGCCCCGGAGGGCTACGCCCAGGTGGCCAGGAAGAAAGCAAAGCAGAAGCCGCCCCAGGGAGCAGAAGTGGGGGAGGCCTGCAGGCAGGAACAGGCTCCCAGTGGGGGAAGCTCTGGGCTGCTGGAATCCGGTGGGCCTCCTTCCCCCAACGGACCAGAGGTCCCCCGCCTGACCCCCAAGCCCGTCTTTTTCTGCAGCTTCTGGGTAAAAGTCCCGACGGACAAGAAGCAGCCACAAATCACGGGCTTGTGCCCGTTCGGCTCCGGAGAAATCCTGCTGGCCGACGAGCAGAACAAGAAGTTGAAGCGCTTCTCTGTGCAGGGCGAGTTCAAGGGCACGATCCCGGTGCCGGGCGACGTGGCCCCATTCAGCGTAGCTGCCGTGGGCAACAAGGTGGTCTTCACCGCTGCGTCTCAGCTCTACGTCTTAAATGAAACGGGAGGGATTGTGTGGCAAAAGGCTCTCAAGGGGGGGCAGGCCAGCCACGCGGTCACCACCTGTGACGGGAACTGCGTGGTGGTGTCCGTGGCAGGACATCTGGAGGTCTTCAACATGAAAGGGCAGCTCCTGGAGAGGATTGTGCCAGAGGGCTCCCACGACCGATCCCTGGTATTCCTGGGCAGGTGGAAAGAGGGATTCGTGGCATCCGACTGGTACCGGCGTAGTGTGGTGCTGCTCGGCAGGAAGGGGGATCTGGTGACCGAATACCAGGAAGAGCAGTTGAAGGAGTCTCAGCCGGGCAGCGTCTGCGCTGACGCCCCCGGGATCATCTACGTGGTGCTTCGGGAGCTGAACAAGGTCGTGGCTTTTTCGGAGGCCGGGGAAGTCCTGGGATCCTTTCTCACAACAGAGAACAACATCTTCAAGCCACGCATGGTCACCATTGCCGGGGACGGGCATTTTGTGGCCGCTCTCACCAACGGCACCGTCCACGTCTTTAAGATCAAGTACCAGGGCAAGTGAGCGGGAAGCATGGAAATGAAAAACGTTGGGGAATTTTTAGAATAATAGAATAATAGAATAATAGAGATACAAAAGTATATGATCATTGAATAGATTTAGGATGATGTAATGAATTGTTATAATATAAATGTATCCAATGCCTAGAATGTTTCATTCAAAATGAAGGAATAATAATTATAGTCAAATAAATGATGTACAATGATAATAATGTATCTGTATT